ATGCAACTGTTATTTATTCTTCCCTCTGCAAAAGGAAATATATCAAACCGGTGCAGGTCAAAACACACAACGACCCAGCCAACCACACAAGCAAACAAAAAGATATTAACCATTAGCCCAATTTACACAGTAAACACAGAAATATACACCACCTATGGGTGTAAGTCTGTATATGTATATACGCAATGATAAATATAAAATCATCTGTTATTATGATTTCCTTTTCCCACTGCAAAAAGCAGTTCATAATCATTATCACAGTGCAAGCCCAGGTGCACACACACAGAGATTCTCCAAGAACACACACACAATGGAGTAGCAATAATAATTATTATAGGATAAACACACAGAGAGAGAGCAAAAACACACACAAAACACATTAACATTAAGAAACAAAAAAAAAAAAAAATCCCAACAGGTGGAAGATTAGTTAGACTGTAGGGATTATATGCAAAAAAGGAAAAAGAAAACAAAGGATGACCTGAGTCACACCACCATACCACCATTACAATCAGCACACAAGAATACAGGCCATTGTAACCACAATCAGTAGTGGTACACGCACCCACACAGAACTGATTATACTGCTGCTGCTGTCTGCATCACCCTTCTTGTTGTTTGTGAGTTCAGGAGGAAGTGTTGTTGTGGTTGTTGTTGTTGTGGTGGTGGTGGTGGTGGTAGGGGTATCTGTATTATCTGCAGCACCTTCTTGGGTGTTTGTTGATTCACTCTCTGCAGGTTTACTGACATTCGCAGCCGTTGTAGCATCATTTCCAGCNTTTCGGGTTCCTTTGGTGAAGTTGGAGCTGGTTCCTTTGGTGTAGTCGGAGCTGGTTCCTTTGGTGAAGTTGGAGCCGGTTCCTTTGGTGAAGTGTGAGCTGGTTCCTTTGGTGAAGTGGGAGCTGGTTCCTTTGGTGTAGTTGAGGCCAGTTCCTTTGGTGAAGTTGGAGCTGGTTCCTTTGGTGAAGTAGGAGCTGGTTCCTTTTGTGAAGTAGGAGCTGGTTCCTTTGGTGAAGTGGGAGCTGGTTCCTTTGGTGAAGTAGGAGCTGGTTCCTTTGGTGTAGTTGGAGCTGGTTCCTTTGGTGTAGTCGGAGCTGGTTCCTTTGGTGAAGTAGGAGCTGGTTCCTTTGGTGAAGTTGGAGCTGGTTCCTTTAGTCCAGTATTCGCCATCACCGCCTTTGGCTGCCCATTAATAGTAGTAGTACCAATAATTGTTGTTCTTGTTGGTCCTCTTGCGGTACGCTGCTGGCGGCAGAGGTCTGCGTACTTCCCACATGCAGACACACGGCTGCCCGCACCGCATGTAAGCCACTCGCTCTCAGCAGCGGGGCGTACACG